TATTCTATATTATTATGTTAAATTCTATATGTTATTTAATTAAACACAACTGAAGTTTAACAATGGAAATTGAGGGAGAGGTGACAATTGAATGAGAGCCTGATATAATGTTTTCTAAAGCTCTAACCATGGCCCCCGCCAGCAAAAAGTCATCGACCAACTGTAGTTTTACAGCTAGAGGTGAGTTTAAACCCGTAGGTAACCAGTTCCCTGTTCATCGCATACTTTTATAGAATACTCTTACAAAGAGACAACACCTAACCATTTCTCTAAACCACAGATTCAATCCTCATCATTATTCTTAAATAACTAGAATTTGAAATAAAAACTTACAACTTTGTTCTTTCAACCTTGAACAAATGTGTGCACACGTTAAGAATTATAATCGTAATAATTTCCTCATTCTACGAACAAATGGTGAATTAGTTGTCTAAAGTCCCTGCGATTGATAGAAAAGATACAATAACTAAAATAGCGATATCAACTATTTGTTATTTTATCATTTTGAACTTGGTGTGGTTTTATGAGAAATGTTGAATGCAAAATAAAATTATTCTTGACATTTTTCATCAAACCATCCATTTTTAGAGCTGGGAAGGTATAAACATTCAAATGGGTACAATTTTGAAATTTCAATTAGGACCATGTTAGTTTTACCCTGTAATTTCTCTACGGAGAAGTAGTTATTACCATAGGTGGCACGGTAAGACCTGGACCCGGGACCGAATTAATTTCGGGAACAAAAAAGTAAATCGGTCCTGGGTCCAGGTTTTACCAGGAGTACTACGATACTAGCTTATTCCCTATATGGGAAATTCGCATGTGTGTTTCACATTTTAACCCTCAAAACGTAGAAATTCTCTATTTTCAACAGTCACCGAAGCGTGACTTTGGTATACTGAAGCGTTGTTGTACGTAAGTACGTATAAAGTTCACGGAGAAAATTGCCAAAAACTGTGGTTTTAAAAACCACATATTGTCCTTATTGAGTAAAAGATAACTATTGTAGGCCTAGTTAGATTGTTTATAAATATATTTTGATCGAATTTAACAAACTTATTAATTCGTATTGTATATTATTTACATTTTTCATAAAACGCACTTTTCTTCTTCCCTGTATAGTCCAGGACCTGACTAGGGTTCTGTGTTCATATCGTGTATTGAGAATTTTGCTTTTGCATTTCAATATAGGTGTCTTAGAGGAAGTGTTTTCCACTCGGGTGTCAAGTTCCCACCTGGTACGTTTTCGAGCTATGAAGTAATCAAGATGGCGGCTCGGCAATTTTTAAATGCGTATATTTCGCATACCGTTTAACGGATCGGGATGGTTTTTTTTGTTTGAAGATATTTTTTTTTACATACTATCTTTTTTGTATTAACACATTTGTTGTTAACTTAATATTTACCCCACAATATTGAAAAACGTTGTTTATTACTATTATTATTATTATTATTATTATTATTATTATTATTATTATTATTATTATTATTATTATTGTTTTGCTTATAACTTCTTAACTACTGATAAAATCAAATACCACCCGCTGCAAAAGTTGCAGATAATTCTATACCCTTTCCAATGATACCAAACAATATGTGATTAGACCTAAAAATAAAGCAAAGAGATCGAATAAACCGTAAACAACACTGAAAAAGGTGTACGGTCCGGGAAAGATTAAGTCCTGGACATGACTAGGGTTCTGTGTGCATGTCGTGTATAGAAAATTTTGCTTTTGCATTTCAATATAGGTGTCTTAGGAAGTGTTTTTCACTCTGGTGTCAAGTCCGCACCTGTTACGTTTTCCAGCTATGACGTCATCAAGATGGCGGATAGGGAAATTTTTAAATGAGTATATTTCGCATACCGTTTAACGGATCGGGGCGATTCTTTTTTTGGTTGTAAGATAATTTTACAGAACATGTTTTTTGTATTTACACTTTTGTTGTAAACTTAATACTTATCTCACTATATAAAAAAACTTGGTTTTTAATATCATTGTTTTTGAATTTTTCCTCATAACTTATTAAACGCTTATAAAATGAAATAACTACCCACTACAAAAGCTGTAGTTAATTTTATGTCCTTTCCAAAGATACCAAACAATTATTGTTTGAAACTAAAATTAAAGCCAAGAGATTAAATAAACCGTTAACTTAACATGGTAGAAAGACCGGAGAATATTGCGGCTGGAACAATTCTTCAAATGCGTATATTTCGCATACCATTTAACGAACCGGGATAGTTCTTTTTTTGTTTGTAAGATATTTTTTAAAACTACCTTTTTTATGTACACCTTTTTTGTTAACCTACTATTTATCCCACAATTTTAATAAACGTACATTTAATTGTTGTTTTTATTTTACTTTTGCTAATAACTTTTTGACAGCCTATAAATTGAAAAACCAACTTCTTACTAAAGTTGTAGACAATTTTATACCATTTCCAATGATACCAAACAATATGGGTTTGTAAATAAATATAAATCAAAAGATTTAACAAACAATACATAAACACTGAACATGGCACAACGTCCAGGAATGATTCCGTCCGGTTTCATTATTATGATATTTCTCCCGTTTATTCTACTAGTGCAGAATCGATTGTCTTTAATAATACATTTAACCACCTTTTTATATGTGTGTAATAATCATCAAGGTATTGAGCTAAGGGGCATCCACTTTCTTAAGTTGCAGCACGAATTATTAGTTACTCAAGTAACGAAAGTGAAATTAGTTAACCGCTTGATAAAATCATCGCCAAACACAATATCCGAATATTTTGCGTTTATTTTTATATTTGCGTTTAGTATTTGAGTAATGAGATAATAAATCAGCGAAGGTTACAGTCCAAGTCAACGAAGGAATGTAACAAATTATAAAATATGTTGGCAACCCTGATATTTATATCAGTCAGCTGTGATACAATCCAAAGTTAATCGTTGCCTTCGATGTAAATATTGACTGTCCTTACGCACGTGCGAAAGATTATGTTGATTACGTTCTTAGTGAAGATTACCGATGTCTACAGTAACTCATTTCGGAAATGAGTTACTGTAGACATCGGTAAATTTCGCCAGGGCAATTGCAAAAACATTAATTGTTTGGTATCGTTGGAAAGGACATAAAATTATCTACAGCTTTTGTAATGGGTAGTTATTTCATTCTATAAGCGTTTAACAAGTTAAGAGGAAAAATTCAAAAACAATGATATTAAAAACCACGTTTTTTAATATAGTGAGATAAATATTAAGTTTACAACAAAAGTGTAAACACAAAAAACATGTTCTGTAAAATTATCTTACAACCAAAAAAAGAATCGCCCCGATCCGTTAAACGGTATGCGAAATATACGCATTTAAAAATTTCTCTATCCACCATCTTGATGACGTCATAGCTGGAAAACGTTACAGGTGCGGACTTGACACCCGAGTGGAAAACACTTCCTAAGACACCTATATTGAAATGCAAAAGCATAAGTCATAAGTCATAAGTTCTTAATTCCAGAATTACAAAATTACATTGCATTGGAATAGTCAAGTTTATAATGAAATGTACAAAAGATTCTCTATGCACGACATACACACAGAACCCTAGTCATGTCCAGGACTTAATATTTCCCGGACCGAACACTTTTTTCAGTGTTTGTTTACGGTTTATTCAATCTCTTTGCTTTATTTTTAGGTCTAATCACAAATTGTTTGGTATCATTGGAAAGGGTATAGAATTATCTGCAACTTTTGCCACGGGTGGTATTTAATTTTATCAGCGGTTAAGAAGTTATAAGCAAAACAATAATAATAATAATAATAAAAACAACGTTTTTCAATATCGTGGGGTAAGTATTAAGTTTACAACAAATGTATAAATACAAAAAAGATAGTTTTTAAAAATATCTTTCAAACAAAAAAGAACCATCCCGATCCGTTAAACGGTATGCGAAATAAACGCATTAAAAAATTGCCGAACCGCCATCTTTATTACGTCATAGCTTGAAAACGTACCAGGTGCGAACTTGACACCCGAGTGGAAAACACTTCCTAAGACACCTATATTGAAATGCAAAAGCAAAATTCTCAATACACGACATGCACACAGAACCCTAGTCAGGTCCAGGACTAGTAGCAGCAAACCAAAGCGGGCATCTGGTTAACGATGCGTTGTGGAAAAAGTGTTCTCGATGCCCGAGGTTTGGGTGGTTTCTTTACCGGAGACACCGTGTAATGGCAAAACTCGCCACACACCACCACTAAATACATTTGTACTTACATACACACATTTGTACAATTTTTTACCATTGTGGTAGTATAATGGCAGCATACTCATTAGAAAATATTATTATTTTTTTGAAGACTCGCAGTGTTCTTTCAATGTTTTTAACTCAAATGGTCACTTGTTTTCGAATTGTACTGTACAGTAAAAAAGATATTATCAAGATAGGTACAGCAAAGGGCCTTTTCATTGAAGAGTTTGAATTCCAATAACAAATAAATGAATGGATAAACTTTTCCTTATACATGAGTGTTTATCAGTGCAAAATAGTTTTGAGGAATTAAGGAAAAATCAAAATTTTTTTAAAGCTATAAAAATGTAGCGCATGTATCGCAGGGCAGCTTCCCCTCATTGAGATAGGGCTTGATTATTTGACAATTTGATCGACCCATTTCTGTGCTTGTCCCATATCCAGCGTAAGCGTATTTGTGAATTTATGTATTTGGATGAACCCGAAAACCATCGGTAAATCTGTGCACAAGCACCTTCGGCTTATTAAAATTGTCGAAACATTAATACCAATCGTGTGAACATAAAAATCGCGTAGAGTGTAGACGCTTTATTATGAATTACTGCATCATCAGTTTCAGTAGGCCGGGTCTGCAGTGTTGCCACATTCGTTTCGCCGGGACCTTGTATTGCTTGGAGGTTGGAGGGGGCCATGGGTATATACATGATCTATATGCACGATACATGAACGAATGAATAAAGTGACTCCTGTTTGTTTCCAGGAGCGTTCTTGGTGCCCTACTGCATCATGCTGTTCGTGGGAGGAATCCCCCTGTTCTACATGGAGCTGGCCCTGGGACAGTTTCACAGGAAGGGAGCTATAACATGTTGGGGGAGGATAGTTCCACTGCTCAAGGGTGAGTTCAAACTTGAATGACAAAGTACTGTAAAGAAGTAGAGTTCTAACCGGGATGGGTCCCATGTCACACGCGGCCCATCAAGATTACGTAGGAAAAGTTGATAGAGTTAGGTTATATAGGTTGTGGTGGTAAAAATATAACACCCGCTGCAGCAAACTTATAGACTAGGCTAATTTCTATTTGCCTCATTAGATTATCACTTAAATATTTCCTCAAACATGTCATATTCATTCTATACTTAAATAATACTAGATTCGACGAGTTCTTTGGTTTGCTGCCTGCGACAGGGATGGTAATAAAGTGTGTTTTAGTAAAAATGTAATAGCTTAGTATGAAATCAATTAATTTGCCAAGTTCGATAAAAATATACACATAAACTAGCAAACTATAACAATTTACCTATTCTCCAAAAGATTGTCATGGTAATATTTAATTTGCTTTTTTTGAATTTTCTCCATAACCATTAAACGTACGTTGTTTTCTTGAGCTCTAAAAAAGGTCTAACGATGAATTGGGAAGTTCTTTGTTTTGTTTTGTTTTGCAAAAAAATGAGGAAAACCAATTTTTACTTTCTCTCCATATACCATAGTATATGGAGAAAGTATTGTTTTCGCAAATTTTTCGAGTTTGAGTTTTGAATGGATATATCCGTTTTGGGCCCCCCTGGACCCGAAATAGTATATTTCATTACTAGGACCGAAAGTGGCATTTTCCGGCGCGCGCTCAAGTTTTTGTGTGAGGCGAAGCCGAACACAGGGAACCCCAATTTCACGTGCGAGGCGAAGCCGAGTATGTGAGAGCTATTTTCACGTACGAGGCGAAGCCGAGGACGGGAATAATGCAGCAAGTGCCGGATAATAACTTTCGGTACGAGTTATGAACGATACTTTTCATCACGACGCATAAATACACAAACACAGAATAGCAGACATCAGTAGTATTACAACTAATTTATTTCTCAACTAATTTGATTAAACATCAAAATAAAATAAAATCTTCTTAAAGGAAACGTACGTTTTTTTCGATTAATTTTTAGAACATAACAATAACAGAAAATATTCTACAGGAAACTTACGTTTTTTTTTCAATAAATTTGGATTAAACAGTAAAACAAAACATAAAAAACAACTTTTGACAATACATACAGCTGATTCAAATCATTAAATTAACCGTAAAAAACACCAGCGCACGTAGTGAGTAAATGGAGAACTAATTGAGAGCGAGGGAAAGTAAATTTAGGGAAAATCAGCTGATCGATTTTCCCTCGCCCTAAATTAGAGCTTGGGAAACGACTACTTTCATTGATGTCAGCTGTTATCGAAAATAGTTAGAGTATTGAAAAAGTGGTTTTCGAAATTATGTCCGTCAACCCCCATAGCTGTAAAAATTTAGGTTCAAAAGTTATTGTAACTGATGTTATTTTCCAATAAAAACCCAATTAAAAAAACGTAAAAATGGATTTAAAAAACCGATTCCGATTTAATTTCTTCTGATATGGCCCTTATAACTCTAAACAAAATAGTGCATCCCTTCATTCCTGTTAAAATGACCATTCAAAAGTTAATGATACTTTGTGATTTTACCTATTAAATATCATAGTTACTCTCATCGCTTACCCTTGATAAAGGTTGTTGACAAGCTAATGGGAGAAAGTATGTGTCAGAATACTAATACCGTTTATTACCTTTTAAATCCCGTCTCCATAGTCCGATCATGCTGGTTCGTAAACTTGCTCTAACGCTAAAAATAAATTTTAAAAGTTGTACCTATATATAGAGCACTAAAGTAAATTTATAAAGGCTAACGAAATAATAAATAATAACGGGGCTGTTATGCGCTCTTATTTAAAACACTAGATAAATAAATGTCAAAGATTATTATCAGGTCTTACTGTGGTGTGGCTACTACACAATCACACTTGTTAAGAATTAATTGTACACTAAATAAACATTATGGATTTAAATTTAATGTTTTAATCGTATATCTAAAAATAATGTCTGTGTCTGTGGCTTGACCGTGCCACTCAAATTAAAACATTTACTGTATTTTAATGGCCTTGTCATTTTAGCGTGTAAGCCCTGGAATCGGAAATACACTTATGACGCTAGTCTACTTATTCAGTGTGTGAAATAAAGTAATAAATGTGGAACATAGAAATTAATTAGGCACCATATCTAACTATTTACTAAGTAGCCTATATCCGAGTGGTAAAAGTGCTTACTTTTATTTCAGAGGCTGCTGATCAATCCTGAGAAACATCAAACATGGACATTGTCGTTTGGCAAATAATGTGTTAGGGCATCCCAATATACTTTTTCCTACAGTTACCTGACATAGTGGGCTTCCTTGCACTGATTAAGTACGCCAAGTAGCTAATTGCTTTATTTACTCACTTTTTCCACACTCACATTTTTTGCCACACTCACATTTTTTGCCGCACTACTTTTTTCCGCACTCAAGTTTTCCAACCAATCAACACAAAACAATGTGCTTTTATTAGGCACGAAATACGTGTACGCTTGAAAATGAGTTGGTAAAAATAAAGATACCGTAGTATCTAGATACCGTAACTACGATTAGCTTGAGCAGCGTGGCGTTTCCCATTTTGTTTAACGCTTGGTTTTAACCTAACCTAAAAAAGTGTTGACTAGTGTTTGAAATACTAATTATTTATATAATTTATAGTAACTGTAGGACAAATTTAATGTGTAACACGAGTGCAAAGTGCCTTTACTGCACTCGAGAAACTTTCCACGCTCGCCTGCGGCTCGTGTGTAAACATTTCTCTCATGTGCAGCAAAGTCCCACTTCGTGCACTATACCAGAAAGTAAAAAGACTAGGATCCACCCCAACTTACCGCAAACAACTCAAAATATTATATTTTTAGGCTCTACTTCATTGCTTAGCTCAGGTATTATTTTAGTTACTGTTCATATGCACGTTTTGATCATTTTTAACAATGTACGACAAAAAAGAGGTTTGTTTATATTCGTTTGGTCGCCATTTCAAAGTAAAGTCATTGAATATATACCCTATAGTATGGTAATGGTAAAGTATTACAACTATTAAAAGTATTAAGTATTCGTTTTAACGTGATAGAAAACGTATAAACTTTGAGGGTCTATTGAACCTTTTGAGGTGTTACCGCAAAAATAAAAGTTGAGGAACTTGCGTCGCGAATAATTTTCTTAAAAGCAAGAATGACAGTTGGTGAAGCAAATTAGGGAGGCAATTCGGGCTCTTCGACGTCATTTAAGGGCGGAAGAACGCAGTCAAAGCGATGGTCACCCCATCATTCCCTCTCACTCTCACTCTCTCTGCCTTTCTCTCTCTTATGTCACCTCTCGTGGCTTTTCACAAAATTTAACACGTTATTACGTAGGGGAAAATTGGGTGAGCTTTAAAAATCTGTATCTCTGCTTTGAATTTGTAAATTTCTTCCTATTCTGCCTCTCTATGATACTGAACTTGGTCAACATTGTATGAAATTAAATTAAATGAAAAAGTGCTATCATAATGTTGCATTTAAAAAAAGTACTAGAACAGCTATAGCAGAATCTAAATTTCTTTAGAAGTAGTAGCGAAAAAGTTAAAAATCATTGCCACAAGCCCTTTTGAAACTAATATCATTTTGATTATATCATATTTAAATCTGCTGTCTTAAGTGAGCGTAAAAGTCGAACAACGGGTTTCAATCTCTAGAGCATATGGCAATACTTACTTTGTGTAATTTTTCAGTTCTCTTAGTTGTGTTTCCAAGTTCAGTGCTTTAATGTGTTAAAAAGTGTATTTCTATTCAACACAAATCTTAAGGTTTCTTAATTAGTTGTTGTTCTGAAAGTGAACCTCAAACTCACGGCTTGTACCAAGAACACCTACTTTCCAACCTTGTAGAGTTTTTTTGTTTTTTTTTTTTGTTTTTTTTTGTTTTTTTTGTTTTTTTTAGGGAGATGAGGGAAAATGCTTTTAAGCACACAGGTAGCCAACCTGTATTGTGAGACTCCTGAAAATTATCAGACGGTTACCTCCCGCTATCTCCGCGTCCCACCACCTCCGTGTACCGCTATCTCCGAATTTCAGAGTGACACCTATAATCCTCGGTTACTTCCTGCGTTAAGACTTTCCGTCTAAACCTAACCTAACCTAACCTAACCTTACCTGACCTAACCTAACCTAACCCACGGGTTAAATTTTCAATTAATCTTCCATCCACGGGGCTTCGCAGCCGTGGATGTAATGACAGCTAACAACGCAGGCAGTGACGGGATTATAAGGGTCACCCAAGAATTCGGAGGTGGCGGGACAGATTTGGGTTCGGAGATGGCGGAACGCGGAGATAGTGGGAGCACACGTATCAGACTACTCACTAAAACCCCCCTCTACTCTGTTGGACACAGACCTGGAATTGTTTGTCACATTACTTCAAGTCAGGCCAACATGTGACCTAAGCCCTTTAGGGCTCGCACCGTTTCTGGCATTTAGATTCTTTATGACCTACACCGCATCCCGGTCAAGGTCTAGCTTCTTGGCGCGGAGAATACCCTGGATGTAATGTGACACACAGGTCCAATTGTCCTCACCCTCCGTCATAATCGGTATGACCATGTCCACCGACAGCAGTCCTACTAACTGTTGAGCCTCCAGGCGGGGCCTTTCCCAGCGCTGGCAGTGGAAAACCCTTGTAGCGATACACGTATACTCAATGGTAATATACTATTTACAATAGGTGCACAATAGTTCCCTGATAGTAATGAATACGTCAGGAGTGGTCGTTTTGCGCTACATTGTATTTGTAGAACTCAGACCTGATCACTGTGAAGCTTGATATTGCTTTGCGATTTGCAGTTTCCTTCAAGGAGATGTTCCTGAAAAACAATTATGAATTTTAAATAAATGTATACACAACAGGGAATGTTATCCGTCAATCCACAAAATTTCCAACGAGATAGAGTAGTAATATGTCAATCTCCGAGCCTCACAGTAACTGCAGGGACTGGAGGGGAACGAACCAGGGGGAGTTCACTCTTGTACTCGGACCGCGTAACTTCGTGCTACTGTTATGATATGGGGCAGCACGATGTTACTCGGTCCAAGTACAAGAGTGGACTCCCCCTGGTTCGTTCCCCTCCAGTGAATTATTGTTTATTTACACAGCCACTGAGGTAAAAATTTGCCTCGTTAGAAAAAGGCTATATTTTTATGTTGAGGGTAGAGTAAGTAATTTATTTACCAAATCAATCTATAATATTGATTGTTTTGTCCGTGTGGGGAACCTTGGATCACAAACGAAAAGCAAAGCTACACAGTAATGTTTGAGTTGGAGTTCTAAAATAATTTAATCACAAACTGAGTGTTTCTCGTGTGCACACTACGTCATGGTAGGCCTATTTACAACAGATGACTAAATGTATTATTGTCACCTTAAACCACAGCCACTTTGTCTTCTTTTCGACCAACAGCGTCAAAAAAGTGTGGACTTTAAACATGTAATTTACCGTGCCATACCCTGTACGTTGTGTTTATCCTCGTCCCTACACCGACGGCCCTACAAATCATAATCAGCTGGTGTCTGGTAAAATGCATCGCCAAGTTTTGAAACACCATTTGATTAAGCAGGCGACAAACAGCTGTTTTCCGGACTAACTTATACAGTTTTAAGTCCATTAAAGCAAAGTAGTGTGGCGAAAAATGTAATCGTTGCGGTTGCGCTACATCATTGATGTTATAGGGATCGGCTACTCCGTGGTGCTGATCGCCTTCTACGTGGACTTCTACTACAACGTAGTGATCGCTTGGGCCCTCCGCTTCTTCTTTGCCTCATTCACCAACATGCTGCCCTGGAGCACCTGCGACAACGAATGGAACACCCCCAACTGTCGACCGGTATGTTTGCCCTTGCTCTCTTTATGTTTTGTATCCAGAGTTCAAGCAATCATTTAATTATATTTTCAAATTGATGTATTTTTCTCACAGGTATAACTTTAAATGCTAATAGCTATGCATTTCTTGAGTAAATATTGGTGTTTAGATGGAAGTCCTGCTGTGGAAAGACGAGGAGGAAGCAACAACGAACTTAAGCATGATTCAAAACAGTTCCACTCTCTCCCAGAACCTCACCAAGGACAAGTCATTGCTAACATCAGCTTCCTCAGAGTACTTCAGGTGAATAGCCAACAGTCGTTATATCACTCTGTAGGCCTACTTAACCATAATTATACTAGTTCGTATGATTGATCACTCAATGCTAACAAAATCTTATAGAAGAATTAGTAAGTTTGAAAGTACTCTGTCATTAATATTGACACATGTAGGATACAGTTGTTTATATTCCAGCCGTGCTATTCTGGAGCTGCATCGCAGTCAGGGGCTACACGACCTAGGGAATATCAAGTGGGACATGGCACTGTGTCTATTCATAGTCTACGTCATCTGCTACTTCAGTCTTTGGAAAGGCATCTCGACCTCGGGGAAGGTAAGAAAAATAACTAATCACTAGAAATGCATATTACAATGTTTGTAAATTTGTTTTTGAGAGTAAAAGAATTTTTAACAAACGTTTGTAAAGAAAATGTTTAAGAAGACTGGACGTTCTAGGTGGTGTGGTTCACTGCCCTCTTCCCCTACGCCGTGCTGCTGATTCTTCTCATCAGAGGCATCACTCTACCAGGCTCCGCTGAAGGCATTCGATACTACCTCAGTCCTAACTTCTCATCAATCACAAAAGCGGAGGTATTGTGCTGACTGCAGGTCTACGTTATACCAACTTAGGGTTTGTTGGGACTTTTTATGCTCGACTTTCTAGCAACAGATAGATCGATATATATAATACACTACGGATACGGCATCCACAGATGTATTTAAGGAGAGGCAGGAAATGCGTTTACACACTCAGGTAGTGGGTAAGGTGTAGTGTGGGACTCCTAGCCTTGAAACACTTGTCGTACTTAATTAGAACTAGGCCGAGCTGGCCTACGTACTACTGTACTTACACTCACTTCATTTTTGGACGTTTACAAACTAACAAGGCTGGCACTGATAGAGCCAGAAATGGGTTGTGATTAGTTTTGAGATTGGATAATTTTGCCCTAAATAGTTTGAATTATCTATATCTATACTATTATATAAAAATCTAATGGTGTCTGTCTGTATGTGTATTACTAATAGGTGCAAAAACTACTAAACCAACTGGGCTTAAATTTTACAAAAATATACCTACCATACCAAGGACCATTATAGGACTATTCACATTTCGATACTGACCGTAGGCTTTGCCCCTTTGGATTTAAAAGCTCTGAGGTGAACATTTTAAAAGTAAATATTGATAGGTCTCCATGGCTGCGATGAGAACACTAACAATGTTTGTTTACATATGTTTTGACATTTCAATGTAAACAAGAAGAACTGCTAAACTGCATTATTTTACAATTAAGGGGATATGGCACTGAAATAATGAATATTTTTTAAAAAAAGTTATTTTTTAAATGTGTCTATTATTTATTATTTATAATGCTAAAAATAAGAAAAATTTGTCAAAAATTAAAAAAAATATTTTTTTTTGTGCTTGGGCTATATTCTGAAAAATACGGAGAATATTTTTTAAAAATCCGGTCATTGACTTATTTTAGTAATAATATTAATAATTATCATTATTATTAATATTAATAATATAATAAATAAGTAATAATTACATATTAATATAATAAATAATAATAAAATGATTTCATAAACAAAAAATTGATCCATAACTCAACAATAAGTATCACCATGGTTACACTGCCAAGTGTGACTTTAGCGTGCGATTCCCGCTAATCAGTTTTTTAACGTTTTCAACTACTAAATTTGATATATCTTCAAAACGGTTTATGCTACATGATTCAAATTTTTACCAAGTGTTTAGAATGTTATTATCTAAATAATTAGGTAGAATTGTAAATGTATGTCAATTCCAAAGTGAAAAAAGATTTTTTTGTTTCCACAGAAAACCAATTTATTTATTTTAAATTACAAAATGACCCATAAAAAAGTAATAAAAAAAGATACTGTTATAATTCTACCTAAATATTTAGAGGGTATTATTCCCTGCAAGCTGATGGTTTAATTATTAAAATCCAATAATTAGAACTGAAGTTATATCGAATTTAGTTAATTACCTAAAAAAACAAAAAAAAATATATTTAGGATGTACTTAACGAAAAAATTTACTTTTAACAATGTTCATACCTATTCTTATGAATATAAAACACATGGTATAAGTTTGAAAGACCTAGTGATAATGTTAAGGAAGTTAGCATTTTCGGTGCCATATCCCCTTAATTTCAGACAGCTGATACTATGTCAATGATTATAGAAAAAAATTCTATAACCTTTGCTGTATCAACTCCGGCTTTGATTTGGATTTTTTAAAGCGTCTAAGTTATGAAAATAATGCTATTGATATGTTTTCATGGAAACAGTATGAAAATTACAATGTATATATGTTGGTATGAATTTGGAGGCTACTTTAAATAAATCCTAACTGCTTAACATGTGTTATATTAACTTAACATAACTTGCACATCACATTGTTTTGTATATGCATGTTTAGGTAAATTAAGTTATTGTGTTTTGCTAAACCTATGCTTTAATTTAACTAAAGAATATCATCAATAACTAAATTGTACGTCGTTGATTTTTGTTTTCTAAAATCTGTTTTAGGGCCTATATGTGTAACTATATTTAATTATCAAATGGTAATACAAAATACTCTTATTTTATCTTAACACAGCTTTCAGTTCACATTTACTTTATTTGATACTTTTATTATTTGTGTTTTGCCACACCACTGATTAAATTAATCCAAGGAAAATATCATAAAACTAAGCAGTACACAGTGCTCTTTTGTTTCTAATATTAATGAAATATCTGTTACTATAATTACTTAATGGTAAGTGTGAAAATGTAAAGGCAATGGACGATGGAACTGATTAAAAGAACTGGTTTAAGATGTTTGTTAATATTTTTGTAGAGTAGAATCAGAGATGCAATGAAACATGTACTGTATTTGCTATTACATTTTTTAGTCCTTGATGCTTTGATAATCTTATTAGTTTTGTCTGCTGTCTTTAATGCTAAATTATTTGTTTAACATTTTTTATAGTACCTCTAGATATAGTTTCTTTAATAGGCCTATTTCAAAAGACTGTATTTATAAGGCACAGCAATATTTCTAAAGCTTATAACAGCTGACTTAGTTTTGCTAATGATTTATTGTGAGTGAAGAAACTGAAGATGGAAGAATTAATGTGTGATTTAATATAAAGAAGAGTGAAATAAAAAAAATGTTCATTTACATTTAATAATTAGTATTTTTGCAACTTCCAAATTGAAATTTAAAATGTCAATAATAAATTAAAAGATATGTTATTAACTATTAAGGGAGATGAAGGTAAATCATGTATGTCAAAGTTTTATTCAAAGATTTGGTCAGTTTTTCTCATATCAGCCTACACAAGATTTAAAATTAATCAAACCCAAAATGGTGGTATCCACTACTTACCAGATTTAAAAGTCATAACTTAAACGTATCTATTAAGGCTATAAAAGTTGAATTTTGTTTCTAAAAGCGTTGGCGGATGTGTAACTATTATATGCAACAGATGTAAAGATTAAAATATTTCTATTTTGTGTCCTCTTCCCGTTGCAAAGCACGGGTAGAACAGCTAGTAAAACATAAAATTCATGCCTACAATAATGAACAAATTTTAGTTTAATTATTACGAAGTTCAAAGAGCCAATGATAACGGGTTTAGTCCAATTGAGCTATTGTTAACATCTTTAATAAAATAAATATTTATAATTTAAACAGGTTAATGTAGTCAGCTAAATAATTGGATCACCAGGATTTTAAACCCCCCCCCCCCCCGGGCAAAACTGGTGTCACTATGATGTAGCAACCTGAGCGACAAGTTTGTCCGAGTGCGGATTTTACTCCCCTTGATATGGGAGTCTGATGAAAATAGACAGAGTATGATACTTTGATAAGTAACAAAAGTTATAATTTTACCTCCTGCCCATTACTACCTATAATATAATAATAACGTTTCAGAATTATGTGTATGTACGGCCCGGAATTTCGCCCCCGTAATCTTACCCCACGTATTATCCCAGCTTCTAATAACTTCTCAACATGTGTTTGAAATGAAATGAAATTTAAATGCTTCTTTATTGAGGTTGACTTAAGACCTCATGATTGTTTCTTACAGTTCCTTAATAATTTCTTACCTCTATAATAATAAATAATAATAATAGGCCTAGTAATGCGAAAATTTGCTGTACATTGCAGTGCCTTGTATACGCTGCAAACTATTTGAGCGAAAAACTTATATCCAATACATTAATATAATGTCTTTTACAAATAGATAATCTAAATGCATTTTATTAGTTTTCAAAATAAGTCATGTATTATAAACATCTATAATTTAAATAAAAACATTGTTTTCTTTTTTTCTTTTTGTTGTTTGTTAATTATATACGATTATGAGCTAGTATGTTTTTATTTGTGTGTGTATAATGAGAGTATCATGGAAGTTGTTAGTTATTGGCCGGGTTGGTAACTCCGTGTTGAAATAATCCGTGTTGATAATGATGATAATAATAATAATAATAATAATAATAATAATAATAATTCAACTCGTTTATTATCTTGCATGCGAAAATCTTCTGTACACTGCAGTGGCTGATATACCTTTCTAGCTGCAAGCTAATTGAGGGGTAAACTTATACCCATTGCATTATTATTTGCAATGCCTTTTATAAATACATATACAGGGTGTCTGGTCATCAGTGTAACAAAAAATTGTTGGTTTATGTACAAAGTAAAAGAAGTGTGATGATTCATATAAGAGGTTCCAAGTTTAAAAATTAGCTTCCCAAAGAATTATTTAAAGTTTAAAAAATACCGTAACCATGTTTTTAAACACAATACAGCGATTTTTTGAGTTACCTGTAAATGGATTTGAGTAGATTATGTCGTTTTCGAATTCTACATTAAATTTTGAAAAAGAATAATAGAAAATGATGGAGGCTAAATAGTAAAAACTCCATTGTAAATAGTTCCATAGATAAAAATTAATGTCTACGATAAAAGTTAAAAAATTAGTCTATTGCATTTTTCTACACCCTGTATACAAGAAGGTAGCGAAATGTGTTGAAAGCTGTGCCAGATTATAAGCTTTCCAACCATATGCTACACTATTGAGGTTTAGATCTGCTTATGTTTGTTTTAGTGTTTTGAATACGAAATAGTAAATCGGTCCCGGGTCCAGGTCTTACCATGAAACCTACGGCAATACAGTAGCTTATTCCTAATGGGAAATACGCTAAAATGATGCTACTGACCCAAACGTAAATATTTTTTTACATTGCTTAAAAAATGCAACTGTCAAAACCATTATGTTAGTTACGTCATTTGGTTATGTTTATGATCCATACCGCTTTCTGTTCTAACATTCATGCCCGCGCAACACATGTATTAAAAACGGCTGTTTTTGCTGCAGCATGGCGGAAAATTGTGGACCCCCTAAATAAAACATTTCTCAGTTTTATTCCATACTATTTTGTAGAACTTAAAAAGCAATGATGTATATAATGAAGCATTGTTGTCCGTCTGATAGTTTGGAGAAAATAAAAAAAACTGTAAATTTTCCCATGTTGTATCAAAGGCTGTATTAATGACAACAAATAAACTGTCG